AAAGAGAATAAGGTATCTCCGACATTACTTTTGGCTAACCCTAAGTAGATTCATTTTCAAATAAATTTATCCTAATTCACATCACGAACTATCACAAAGAATGGCAAATATGAATGATAAATGTCTACTTTCATCTATTCATTCTACAGTTACACCAAGAAAACAATTTGCACCAACTCTTCCTACAGTTTCTCGTCAACAATCCGTCAAAAAACATCCTCATCGAAGAAAAACAAATAGTATACGGTCAATAACTGTTATTCATACAAAAGTTCGACCACAAATTAACTCTATTCCTGAAAATAAAAGCAAAAATACCAATGATATTGACACATGGCCTTCGGTTAGAGTTTTAATCTTTGTATTTGTTTCATCTATTTCTTTTTGAATAGATCACAGATCTTATAAATGCAAGTCATCATCGTCATAATGCAACATCATTAGCTAATCCAAGTTTAAATGAATGGTCGAATAATACAATACAATCTGCTGATATTAATCCACGATATCGATCATTATCTCAGATAGAAGATTTTTTTTAAATATTGATTTCAATATTTTCTTTCCTAGTCGTCATATGATCATCAACGACAAATAAAAAGTGTAACGCTGTTAAATACTCACAGAGATAGAAAATCAAAAATATTAAAAAATCTATCATCAAAATCATATAAAGTGTTTCCATATCATGTAATTAAATGTACATTTGATTAATTTGTTATGAATATTTTTTTTATAAATATTATAGGATGATATCTCTCGTGGTTCAATTCAATTCAATAGTTCTAGTAAAATTAAAGTAATACAGATGGATTCACAAGCCGAATAGGATCTGCCGATGAACTTCATGATATAGTAGATCATATAAAAAAGAGAAAAAAACGAAAGTAACTATTATTTTAGATTTGGAATTTTAAATTTTATTTTCTTGTAGACAATTTTATTGTTCTCCATGTAAACTTTTTTGTTTATCTTTTCTTCTATTAACTTGTCTTATTCTTGGGATACTTTTGACTGGTTTATTGCTCGAATTTTTACCGAAATCTACCACCACAATAAAAACAAGTAATATTTTGCTAAATTATTACATTATATAGAAATGAATATTCATCTTTTAGCAATAATAAGTACTCCTACAATAATAACAAGTATGTCTATATTAAAATAAATTATTCATTATCTTTATTGCTCAGGGCTGCCAACCGTACCCCATTTTGGGGTACAATACCCCATTTCGTCATTTTGTACCCCAGGAAATTTTGTACCCC